CTGGATGCTTCTCAAGTCAAAAGGTTAAAGGAGGATATCTGGGTGCTCTTGGTATAGAAAAAATCTGAATAGAGAAAAACAGTCGATATGAAGCCAGAGGGAAGCCATGTAAGTAACACAACTCCGATAAGCCTTCGACAATGCATAGAATCCAATTTTCTGGCCTTTAAACATATATATTTAGACTCGTAATTTTACTCATTGTCCAGTGTAAGAACTCTGATCCATCAAGTGGCCACCACCTTTCATTTGTTTAGATGCCCAACATCACCTTGGTGAACAGTAACATAATTTTATGGAGCGTACGTGATAATTCCAGGCTTTCCTATCCCCTCCCTCAAGGAAACATTTAATTTTGCAGTTTTCATGGTATTCATTGCATAAAATAGAAGGAAAAATAGAAGAAGAGATATTGTCCTCAACTTCCCCGGTTATCTGTTTTAACAAAGTTTTGACCACAAGATTCAAAATTTATAAATCAGAAACATGGATTGTTTGAACATTAGCTAATACAGTACCTGGAATGCCAACTTTTCCATGACTTCTTCATAAAAGGGTAAAGCTTCCTTGAGTTTCCCAAGATCCATCAGGGAGTCACCATCTTTCAATGCCTAAGCATTATGCATTAAATAAGAAGAAAGGCATCCATTATAATGCCTGGTTGACAGAGAATTGCAAGATGAATGTAGAAAAGAAAAAATTACTATTAAATACAAGAAAGATTTATGTAGTGATTCTTAGCCCCTGTTGAGCCCCATTTTTATAGATTTTGTAAAAAGTGATTCTTTGGAGAACGTATAGATAAAAAGTAGGGGAAACCTTTGGATTTACGTGCAAAATCATTTCATTGAGAGAATGTGTGGTTGAAAATGAGTTCCCGAAAAAAATAATTTTTAAAGAATGGAACTCAAATAGGGGATTAGTATTGCTCTTTTTCAGTAATAGCAAAGGCTACAGTGGAAAGTTTGGATACTTATAGGAGAACTCATATTTTAAAAGGGTGTAATCTCTATGTTTGTTGATCATGAGAGAATTTATGCAAGTCTCAAATAGGTTCTGTCAATAAAGTCAACACAATGAAAATCCTTTCTATCTTTGTGACAAGTTTCTTTATATACTTCTTATGCATTATGCCTATTAGGTTGAAAATAAACATCATGCATGTGTTATTGTGCTATTAATTCATTTTAATAAATATCTTGTCGTTTCTACTTATAGAATTTTATGCAAGACTTGGCACTGTTTCCTCCAATTTAGCATATTTCCATGCGAACCCCCAGTGAAGATGTCTATTTCAAAATGTTTAAGATAAAAACGATCACTTGACCCCTAGAGCCTCCAGTCAAACCTGATCAGGTTGTGGTTATAACAATAAGTATATTCTTATTGATACAAGTTCTATTATTGTAGTCAAGTTTGATTTACAAAACATCTTCCTTGGACAAATTGCAAAAATAAAAATAAGTGCGTTAATAATCGCTCAAGGTTTTTGAAATCTGTCAGGGCTCATAAAGAGCCACCTTGTGCAGACTTCTAAATTACAGCCTGAGCTTGAACATTTCTTGAAATGTAGTTGAAGGTGGTGCAAGATTTTAGCATAACCCAAGGATGGTACTATCATGTATTCTAAACATGTGTAAATAGCACCACATATTAGGACTTATTCAAGGTTAAATTTGATTTGCAAAGTACCTCCTCGCATTCAATTTTTAACTTTGGGTCAATACGCAGGCCAATTTTGCTCTTGTAGGCAGCTAGCAACTGCCTGGTACGTGCTTCTTTAGCAGCCCTATCCTCCGCTGTTTCAAGTGCCTCTCCTGGGCGTATATTTCTTCCACCACCAAACTAAACACCAGTAAAGGTAAATTATAACTAGTAATTCACATAGTTTTACAGGGTTGATTATTTCTAGAGAAATTGGAGAACAGATAAAGTCACAGCTTAGTCAAACACATTGTTAAATAAATTTGAAAAAGGGAAGTTACACAAATCAAATGGATATTTTTAAAGGACTTCTAGAAATACTCGCGCATTAAAAAAAAATGTTTGGAATATCAATTCTGAAAAACACTTTCAGTGCATCAAGAAGATCCGCCCAGAAAAACAGCCAATCTATACCATCATATTTAAGTCCTACCTTTACAACTCAGTGCATGTTGAAAAGTAGAGATTTCAAGATTGACAAGGGGCATGTATTGCATGTTGATGACAAGATAGGAAGAAGTGAGATAAAGTGGAGAAAGAAAATTTGGAGATAAATGGCTTGAGGAAACATATGAATAAGATTTTTAAGTAGCCTGAAAGACTGAAATCTCTTACTGTTTTTGAAATGTTGTTTGGTCTTGGGAAAAGTCCCCATGTGGAAACCTTTGGCTTATAGAGATCAGCATCATCTTCTTTTGTTGGCATTGGCTTTGATGCTGCTGCAGCATCTCCAAACTTAGTACTATCTCCAATGAGTATCTCTACTTCAGGCAGATCTCCTTCTGGAAAAGTGTCCATCATTGGAACCAAACCCGCAGGCAACCCCCTGCTCTTCCTCTTATCCGAGAATTCAAGCCCCACAAAATCAATACTTGAAATCGACAATTCCTCCTTACTGGCATTCTTTTTAGGTTGCTTATCTCCAACACTTTGCACATTCCTTCCCTTGAGTCCTACCCATTAATGCACATATATTTTCAGCCTTAAATCCATTTCAAATTCTTTCATTTTCATCACCAATGGAACCTCTGTCTAAGCATATTGCATGACACGTCTCAGCACAACTAAGTTTATTATAAAACTTCTAAAGAATAATACAGAAAAATGCTTGTTTATTTTCCTACAAATTAGTTGCTCAGAAATTACAGAAGTTACATATTAAAAAGAATGACATCATTTAATAAAGCCAAATCAAAATGCAAAGGAATTAATTAGGAATAAATAGTTTTAATATTAACTTTCTCAACTAGAGGGGTAACATTTCATCCAGGCAAATTTGGAATAATTCCTTCAATACGATAAGAAAAATGTAGGGAATTTTGATTTTCAGAAATACAAAAAAGGCAAATAAGAAACCAGTCAAGGATTGTGTAAAGTCCCATATAGATAAAAACTCAAAAAATTTCTCAGAAACAATACCTGAATCTAAGGTTTCACTGCCCCCAACTCTTACAGCACTAGTATCCGTGACACCATTGTTCTTTTTATACTCCTTTGCTTTTTCCAATGCAAGTTTAACAGCCAATGGAACCTCTTTCTCCCCATCAATATCCTTAATTTCATCCGAATCATCAATCTTTTTTTCTCCTGTAACAGGGTTTTGAACAATTCTTGAAATAGTTGATTCAATTCCGACAACGCCTTTATTATTCTCATAGTCCTTTGCTGTATCATCCTGAATTTCATCAGATTCTAACCTATCGTTCTTTCTGTTAACTTCATTCAACGATTCTTGAACAGTATTTGGAGGCGGGCTGTTGAAAATTACGGAGTTCTTATATGCCTTAGCTTTGGCAAATGCGAGCTTAACTGGGTCTGTATCCCGGGGCGGGGATTCCGATGGGTTTTCTTGAGAATTTGGAGAAGATTCTGGGTTGGAGGGGCCTATAGAGGATGAGACCTTGAAGTTCTTAAATGTAAAGAAGTTTTTGGGATTTGGAGAAAGAGCATAACTCTTCTTTATGGGTTTGAGGGAAGAGACGACTGGAGATTGTGAGAACGAGGCCATTGGCACGTTATGGTTTTGGGTTTGGAAGGGTAATAGAAGAGAATGTGGGAAGTCAGTGGCCATTGCTCATTTTTCTGGTTTTATTTTGATGCTTGGAATTCTAGTTTGGCTAAATAACTTTTTTTTTTTTTGAAGTTATTACTTATAAGTAGTGTATAAAACATGGTCAGTTTCGTCAATGATCCGTGGCGGTCCACTTCCGTTGTTCGTGATACTCTTGTGGTTCTTGTTTTGGTGACGATTTCTTTAGACTTCCAACAGTTTGATATATTGTACAAGACAATTTTTTGGCCATGGTGGCTTCTCGGCAACCTCCTCGCGACAAGGAAACAAAATTCTTTTTCCGTTTTCCCCCTATCATTAGATTTGACTTTAAAACAAAGACTTTGTTAGTCAATTATATGGGATGAATTGTGTAACACTAACATCACACTAAAACAAATAGCAAAGATGCCATGCTTCAATAAAAATAGGTTGGCGACGACACTATAACCATGTCATTAGAGTGAAGATAGGGATGACAAATGGATCGATTCATTCGTCAGCTCGTTGGCTTGACTTGTCCCGACTCAATTTTTTTTTTAACAAAACCACGGGTCAAATCGTTTTTGACTTATTTTATTAATTTTTTAAGCCAACGAAATTCGACCCATGAAGCATACGAGTCAAAGTCTTAAACTGGTTCGATTTGATTTATTGTCATCCCTAATTAAATAACAATAGTACATGATTAGTGTTAATTTTCTTTTATTTTGATAATAGTTCCACATCCAAACTTGCCGTCAATCTGACTTGAAAATAGACAAGAAGCACAAGAAGAAAATGGATAAATCATTTCATCTTTAACCTCCAAAAAAAAACAAGCCCCCCACGCTGTCAACTCTAGCATATCCCCAATCGTCACTAGCCGACCCGTTCACATCGATGACCAAGTTCTTCCGATAGTTTCTTTGAGGACTATTATTGAGGATGACGGCTGCTAATTTGTTAAAGGTTAAGGATATAAATGTCAAGAAATAAAAATTGGGGATAGAAGTTCGAAAGGAAGTAAAGATTCGGGACAACAACCGCAATTTATCCATTCATTCAAAGTAACACTTTGTTACAACGCAAATCATTATAGTTTGATGATATTTGATTAGGTTTATTCATTTGAATCAATTACACCTATAGGAATTATAAAATGTATAATCTACAAGTTTGAATTATATATTTCTCATTCGTGCTCTCCTAGATTAATCGTTGAGATATCTAATTATGTCAATTTCATAGTCTCAATTGTGCGTCTTTTAAATCCTTCATGCACACAAGGCACTCTAATATCAATCTTGTCATTCCTCAATAGTTAATCCAATACCATATTTCATGCACCAAAAGCGCACACAAATGCTGTTATTAATGTCGATGGTGTTAGAAAATTGTGTCATGGCTGATAACACTGAATGCGTCAATCCAATCTTTTAATTCCTCGTGATTAATTAACATTATAATTAGTTTCATAATATTTATGTAATTTGATATGCGTGAAATAGTGTCCTAGAATCACCTTGGTATTAGCGAAACATTTTTAGTTGAAAGCACATGTCAAGTTAAAGGTCATATTACTTGGAGAGATAAGGTGAGATCAACAACTCAATACCAACAAATTCAAAGAGAAGCGTGTAATGTGACATGTGATTCAAGAAAGATCAAGCCTCACAAGCCGAGATTCATTCTTCAAGCAATTGGAACAATCAAGGACATAATCAACTCGTAAATTCCCTTAACAGATTAGAAAAATTGTATGCCAGATTAGGAAAATTGTATCAATTATGACAGTGTTAAAATTAGAGAGACGTTGTGAATCTTGTAAAAAACTTTATGTACCAACAACTTTATAAAATATACGAAGCGTACTCTCAAACTCACATTGGGCTGAGACTCATAAATCTTTTCTTTCTTCGTTTCTTGGTATTTTCCCTTATTAACTATTGTAGAGCACAATGAAGTTTTATCTTTAGAAGTTGTCCTATGACTGAGCAACTGTAACTTGATCTTACTGAAGTTAAGAAAAAAATTATCATACATAAAAAAAAAACTCAATATTACTTAATTTAATGTGAGTAAATATTATTGATATTTCTGCAATAATTTTTAACCCTTTTTCGTGAAGCATTCGCAGTGATAAAAATGAATAAGAACTATGCAAGTGGTAAGCTAGTAAACTCTAGAACGTGCAATTGTAGCATTAGCGGAAAAGTTACAGAAAATAAATAAAACTAAGGGTCCGTTTAATTGGTTTAAATTTTATGGAAATATCACATTTGAGGAATTCAATTTCTACTTTGACTGTTTGATACGAAAGTGTAAATACAGTTCGAATTCCAATGTACAACCACTCTAAACTTGTTTTTTGCTAATTTATAGAAAATACATTCCTATGGGGTATTTAGGTTTTTATTTTCCAACTTATATGGAATTGGAAAGTCTTTCCACCTTTATCAATCAAACGAACCTTAAATGAAAATTGCAAATCATATTCTGTTAGAAATTATTACTTTAGTTTTTGAATTAAAATAACTATTAGCATTTGCCCCAATTTTCTAAAACTCCTTTTTTCTCAAACTTTTTATTTTTTTCAAAACTATTCTTATTCAAACATTCTCGATATGAATAATTTTGTACATAAATCTATAACTTTCCAGACTTATTAACCACACATTTCCAAAAAATCACTTCTCACAAAATCTATTTCAAAAAAATCTCTTAACAAGAGCTTTGTAGCACAATTATAATCTCTACAAACATGATTCCAATACATCATTTAAAACATTTCTCAAACTTACGTAGCAAAAGCATTGTGAATAGGCAAGGTAAAAAAATGCAGATGGTGTTCACTCAAAGATAAAAGTCTCTATTCAAATTATCTGAAGAACGAAAATTGGACAGAATGACGCACATAAAATTTCAGTATACTTGAGATCAGCTTCATTTAATTTCTCTACAAACATCATCAGGTAACTAATTCGAGTGCAAAATTTAGGTATTCTGAAATGTATGTCTAGAAGAAAATCAAACTTTGAATCAAGATGCTGACCAACTTTTCATTTCTTAATTTTTCCATTTCTCATCAAGTGGTAACTTGTTTTCTATAGTAATGAAGAATTCAATAAGCTTGCATAAGAACATCTACATCATCAAATAATCGGTGGACTGGTTGGATATTGAAGCTTGAAATAAGCTGCAGAAGGTTGACACTGAAATAAAAGTAAAAACCAACAGCATCAGTTAAGAACCTGTTTCTAGTATATCACTAGATGTTAAAATGTGTAAACTATAAAAGGGAATAAATAGCAGTAGACATAATGACAATTCACTATAATTTACATTCACCTACACAATTATTCTCAAGAAGAATTCAGAAACAGTATAACTCATATACAAACTATGTTCTATCTTTTCTATTTTTGATGTACTCGAGTTGGATGCTTAAGAAAGTGTGTCGACAGGCTACTAGAAGGACACCCTTTCAGCAGTCTACATGTTGTCAAATCCTAGAGAACAGCCATCAATACCGTTTAGCATCAGATTACGCATCCTGATGGGACAAAATCAATCTTAAGAACGAAAATTTATCGTGATTCAACTGGCCACTTTTGAGCTAAGTTATTAGCAGTTCTATTCTTGAGCCACAAACATCTTGTGCAAGTACTGTGCACTTTGCGTAGAAGTATTTATCGTTGATCTAATCTCTGACTGTGTATATATTGTATTTTCCTATTAGCATAAATCATTAAACATCAACAACTATAAACTGTGGCATCTAAATAATAAGAGGATGGATCACTATATACATATTTCCTTTCGCATTTATATGGATAATATTTGGTAAGAGAAAATCTACGAGGGTTTGGAAGGGGGAGGGTTGACAATAGTAGTCAACACAAACTAGCACTATAATGTCTGTTAGAAATAAAAATTAGCCAGTAAATTAAGTGATGTTAAGAAGAGACATGATCTTCCATTGATCTAGAATTAGCTCCAGTCACATCTTTGAAGGAGATAAAACACGCAGTAAGCACAGCTACCTCAGAAATAAATCCCATCTCATAAAGTCGTCTTCCATTCTTCTCTCTTAAGATCAATAATATATATAATCTTGTTCTCAAGGAATACCAAAAATTTCTCGCAGCAGCTGATCAGCTGGAAATTGCAAGATTTCACCTCCTCAGTGTTTGAACGTTGATACTTGATAGAGATCCACTTTGACCAAGATTTTGAACACCCGTTTATCAAACAAATCACCACCAGAAGTCGCAAGCAAACACATAAAATCGCCAATTATTACCATGTATATTCTACTCTAATGAGTGATTGGAGACTGTGGAAGTGATTTGAAGCATTCTGATGCAGGAGAATCCAAGTCAGATGATGCCGAGTCCGATAGCTCGTTGATGGCGCGAGATACCATGAGTTGGCGGATTAGCGCAAAAATGGCAAGTAATCAAAATCTTTTCGTAATTGGGGCGGTTTTTAGACACGTTTGATATTTTGGTCATAACTTTGGCTACGGTTATCAGAATCGCTCTTATGACCCCAATTTGAAAATCTTTTTTCAGCGGGCACGACATGGTCATCGAGCAAAGCACATCGATTTCAAGGGCAAAATCCGTTGTTTCCCTTTCGAATCTCCAATTTTAATTATTTTTTTCCTTTTTTGGTAATTTTCGTTTGCCTTTTTAAAAGAGATTATGAACTCGATTTGAGTTAGATTTTTGGGATATTATTTCTTTTATTACGTACTTTCTTTTGGTATGACTATTGAGATATTGATATTTTTGATAAAATTCCAATAATTACGATTTTCTAGCTATATAGCCTAGCTTGTAGGCTGTTTTCGGATGGTGAATGAAATAATAAAGAATTCTCTTGTTTTTCTTGGCCTTTCTCTTGTGTTCTTCCCTGTGAATTATCTGCTGAAACCAGCCTACAGAATAATCGCTATTCTGCCCGGCGTCACACTCACAGCTAAACTATACATCCCACTACTTATGATCTCAAAACGCGTGTGCAGAGTGTGTGCA